ACCCAGTGAGGTGGGTGGAGAGTCAGGAGGCCCCACTGGAATGGCTGAGCCGCGGTCTAGAAACAAGAGGCCACCATACCTGAATCTTGACCCCCAAAGCTGATGACTACAGACTGAACGTGCTACAGAAACCTGTGTCTTGCAGCCCACACAGCAGTTGCCTTCCCCTCACTTCCTTCCTGTAAATTCATTGTTTCTTTGTTGAGACTTAACTTACAACCAAAGCTGTATCTTCAAACAATGTGGAATGCCAGCCTACCATGTCTGTCACATTCCCAAGCCTGTCCCTATGCCACACACCCAGCTGTCCCCACCTGCCACCTGCTTCCATGCCTCAATGCCCCACCCAGGCAGGCGACCCTATTCTATGCTTCACCATGTCCCAATTACAGTACTACACTGGTGAAGTTGGCTGTGTGTGCCTGCTTTCCCCACTCCCCCAGTGTAAGCCCCCTTGGGACAGAAATGTAGCTACCCAGTTCAAGGTCACACCCTAAGTGCCTATCTTTGTGCCTGGAGAGATCCATCTAACCATGGCCAGGTTGGAAGAAGGCAGCAAGCTCACCTGCTTGGAAGTAGAAGCTGTGAAGGGGAAAGAGACACACAATCCCAGGCTGTTTAACTGCTGGACCCAGTAAAATGGGGGTAAGGGCATTAAAGACTGGCAGGGGGTTTTGAGGGACCCAAGGTAACATACATTCAGTTCTGTTCATCAACCTCACCTTTTCTTCCAGTTTTTTTCTGAGATAGATAAGAACTAGGTTTTTCTGGAGATCCAGCCCTGAAGAAGAAAACTTAAAAGTCCAGGAAGTCTTTGGCCATGCAGGATGGGCAGCTGGCTCATAGCAGGAAGGCAGAGAGGTGTCTGCCTCCTGGGCCCTCTTTTTCACTTGAGTTTTTCCCTCGAAAGTTGGAACCAGAAGAGGCCCTCCTCCCACTCTAGGCCTGCCAGGCTTCCTGGCAGCAGAGCTTGTGGTCAGCAGGGCCTGGAGGCCTGATCCTGCCAGATGACCAGATGCACTAGTAGCGGGGTGACTGTCGAGGAGACTGGTCGAACACGGCGTGTCAGGATGATCCTTCCTCTGGCATGCTTCGTATGGGCCAGGTCAGGTCATGTCCGTGGTCTGCTCATAACTATTAATAGTGCCCTTTCACTCTGAAGTGTCCTGCTCATCTGCTAAAGCTGAGCATACAGTTCTGTGATCCAGCGATTCCTCTCCTAGGCATACACCCAACAGAAAATTTCACATCTACTCACCAAGACATTCTAGAACACTCATGGCAGCACTATTTGTAATAGCCTGAACTAGAAACAATCCAACTGCCCTAAGAGAACGGGTAAATAAATTGTGGTCCATTCACACCCTGTAACTATGCAGCTGTGAGAATGAGCTCTGCAGCCACACGCAATAGCGCTGATGAATCCACGCCGAGGAAGGAAACTAGCCCAGGAGAGCACATGCCCCTGTCTCCCTCCCATCCAAGCATAAACAGGCTGAATGCTGGTCACAGGGAAGAGCTGAAGATCCTATTTCTTATCCGGGTGCTGATGACACACAAAGATGTTCATTTTGTTAAAATGCATCAAGTCCAACACTTAAGATTTGTGCATTTTCTGCTTGTATAGTTGTTATGAGCAAAACAGTTTACCTTACTTTTGGTTTTTGCTACTACAGCCCAGGCTGACCTTGAACTAGTGATCCTCCTGTCTAACTAAGTCTCTCAGTGCTGGATCAAAACTTGTGCTGCCATGCCTGGCTACCTTATTATTATTATTGTTATTTTGCAATTCTAGGGCTCTAACCCAGGACTTCACACGTACTAGGTAAATGCTTTACTAGTGCCACTAGTATGGGTTTACTTTTAAAAGTATCCTGGTTTGGACAACAGGTTAGAAAATCCCTGATCTTTTCTTCCTCCTACCCCTCCCATCTACTTTCCATGTTGGACTGGACACACAGCACATCATCACACCTTACTGCCATGTCCTTTAGAGGATGACAAACCTTGCTACCAAATGCAACCATCCACCTATCCTTCCATACAGTCTTCTGAAAAATGAAAGTCAGCTTCCCTGAAATAAAGTTGACTCTAAATCTCCATTCCCTGCCCACTCCTGCTGGGTTTATTGAAGTTCGTTGCCTTGTCCTTGAGGAAACTATACAAGCCAACTTTGATCATGGGAAAATGCTTCTGGTGGGTAAGACTGGTTCTGATGGCAACCAACTCCTTTGACCCTTCCTGCCTTGGCCACCTGGCTGATGTTCCAGGCCTAGAACGGCTCCCTCTCCTGCCTCCTGAGTTGCCTTTCTCACTCTCCTCAGCCCCCCTCCTCAACCCATTCAAATCCCATGAAGGCCACCTTGAGGCCAGGACCTCCCTGACCACCTCCTGTAGCACCTAGTCTTTCTTTAAAGCATCCCTTCCCCCGATTCCCCGCCCCACTTTCCAAGGTGCAGGGAACTTTGTTCACTGACTGTCCCCCAAAGCTTGTAGTAGCTCCTGGTGCCTAGTAACTTAATTAATGTATGTTTTCAACCTCATGGCAGCTCCAGGATCTTTATTCAGTTTTCTGGGGTAGTGGTGGTGTAATTCCTGGTCTTGATCACTCTTAGACGTGAAATTCGCTCGTATTCATTCATCTTTTTATCCCCACCACTCACTCTTGTGCTTAATACCTCAAGAGGAAAGAAAAGGAATTCAGGGCATGTGCTCCAGAAAGCATGGAGGTGGGGTCAGTGAGTAGGGAGGTAGTTATTTGGATTTCAAGGGTGTGGGTAATCCTGGAAGGGAACAAGCTACTATATTTATTTGCCTATGAATTTATTTATACCTGCCTCCTTCCAGAGAGGGTTTGAGATGGCTTACAAAAATACACACAATGCAAAGTAAAAAACAAGTCGGTGAGGAAATCAGGACGAAGGGAAAAGTAAGAGTGGAAAAAGATCAAATAGGCTCGCGAGAAGTGGACCACAAAGTTGGCCAAGTTTTCCAACAGCCCACTGGAGAATTAAGTCCCTTCTCCTCTCCGCCACCCCTTTCGTGGGGACCGCCACATGTTACTTGTAGACCGGGAGAAATATGCCCCACAGTTAGGCGCGTCCAGGGGAAGGGGCTGACAGGTTCAGGCCTCTCCCGCCCCTCCGGGCCGCCAGCCCCGCAGCCGGGGCCTGGAAGGCCTCGGGGAGGGCTCTGTCGACGCAGAGGCCTGGGACCTGGGACGGGGACGGCTAAGAGCTGAATATGCGCTTCCACACTCAACACTACGAGGGTCCCCGAGCTCACAACTTAGTGCCCGCCAGCCAACTCTGCTCGCGGCCTACTAAGCGCGCGCACGATCGCGGGACACAAAGATGGAGGGAGCGGCGAGCTTCCACCCCGCCCCACCCCCAACATGGTTGCAGACAAAGGGGCAGCTGCCCCTCCCCCACCGCCCACTTCTCCCCGCGCTCCGGCCGCCCCTCTGTGACTTCCTCTCTCCTCCTGGGGCGGCCCTGGCACTTCTCAATAACTGCATTTCACCTGGGCGCGGGGCGGGGAGCAGCGCGGAGGGCGGTTCCAGGGCCCACCGCCAGGCGGGCAGCCCCAGGCCCGCGCCCTCCCCTTTGAACCCGCTCTTGGCCTCCGGCATCTTCCCGCCTGCTGCCCGCGCCCCGCCCCCACCGGCGAGCACGTGCTGCCCCGCGCCCAGGGCGCCATCCCGCGGCCCCGGTGGGGGCTGGGCCTGCTGCCCGCCCGCTCCCCACCCCCACCGGAAACATTCCTGAGGCATTCCTGAAACTTGGAGGCCCGGCCCCTCGAGCTCCCACCCCGCCTCCACTCCGGGCGCAGGGTTTGCCCAGCGTCTCCCACTACCGCCGGCTCTCCTACTGAGGGCGGGGGGGGGGCTGGACCAGGGCCTCGGTTGACCGGGGAGGAAGAAGGGGAGCAAAGAAAAACATGAGTCACAGCCGTGTGTCACTGGGCCGCATTGCAATTCCCTGCATCACAGAAGGTGTGGAAGGCCGCCTCGGGGACCAGGCGTGGGGAGGTGCGCGAAGGACCCGGCCCGGCCTGCAAGGCTCACTTCCCCGGCCGCGCCATCTTCTTCCCACTTTGGCTTCCTCCTCGGGTGCATGCAACAAGTCTTTGTTGAGCCAGGCGCCTGGAGGCCAGGCCTAGCGGGCACGGACTGTGTAAACTCGGCTCCTGCCCTCGAGGCGCTTCCAGGCGACCTCTGGCCCACCGTGTATTTATTTATTTTTTTAAAAAAGTAACAATGGAAGGAATGTGGGGCCAGAGCGGGCCCGCGTGTCTCCAAATCACCATGCAGGTCACCCAATGGCTCCTCCCTCTGGTATACCTGCGAACGAGCCAATCGTTTGTTTCGCTTGAAGGCTGCACCTTGATTATGGCTCGCTGGCGGCCGTTAATAAACGGAAACACCTTGGATTTCCCAAGTTTCACGTTTCAATTTCACAAGACTTATGTTTCACTAGCCAGCAACACGCGGGCTGCCACCGACATGCACATGCTGACACCTGTCCGCCCAAGAGATCTACGAGCCGTCTGTTTGGGCGAAAGGAGCTCGTGTAGGCCGCGGAATTCTCCCAACAGGCGCGTCTCACCCCCCCTCCACCCGTGTGGACCCCCGCGGCCCCGAGCGCCCGCCCCCTCACATGAAGGCCCGCGGGGGTCGTTCCCACGCGGCCAGGAAGCCCCCGGAGGTAACTGCTCCAGGGACCTGTTCCTCGCAAGGACGCCCCCACTCTGCCCGCCCCCACGAGAAGCTGCTCCACGAGTCCTCTGCGCCCCTCTATGTGTTATCTCCGCCATGGACTATGAGGAGTGGGCCGTCAACTAAGGTCCCAGCGCAGGCCTCCCGCACAGCCCTTCCCGGTGTCAGCACCCACCCGTGCGGCGGCGGCGGCGGCTGGCGGGCGGCCGCCCTTTTAAATCCCCGGGCTCATTTGCATGGCCCCGCCCCCCAGTGACACGGCTGGCGCGGGCGGGCCCGTCCCCCCTGCCCCTGGGTCGCTCTTTTTAAGCTCCCCTGAGCCGGGGCTGCGCTCCTCTAATTGGGACTCCGAGCCGGGGCTATTTCTGGCGCTGGCGCGACTCCAAGAAGGCGTGAGTTCGCGGCCGCTCCGGTGGCTTCTTTTTTTTATATCTATAATTTAATTAAATTATTTATTTATTGAGGCCGCGCACGGGCCGTGCCCAGCTTCCTGCCCCTGCCATCCTCCGGGGGAGGGGAATAATTTTGTCCCCCCGCCTGGGTGTGACATATAAATACCCGGCGGGGGCCTGGGTGGCGAGCACGCGGCGGCGGCGGCAGTCTCTGAGCGCCTCTGCCCTCTCTCCCGGTTTCAGATCCGCATTTGCTACCAGCGGCGGCGGCAGCAGCGGAGCCAGGCCGGTCCTCAGCGCCCAGCACCGTCGCTCCCAGCAGCCCCGAGCGCGCACCGCAGGCCGGCGGCCGAGCTCGCGGTGAGTCTTCCCCGGGGCCCGCGGCGGCGGCGGCAGACCTAGGGGGGCGCCCGCGCCCCCGCACGCCGCCCTCCCGCGAGCCGCCCGGGGCTGCAGCGCGCGCCGCCGGCTTTATTCCCAGGCCCGGGCGTCGCGGGCCGCGGGCGGGAGGGCCGCGCGGCGCGGAGGCGGGCGCCGGGGCTCGGCGGCGCGGGAGGACGCCCGCACCGCATCCCCAGCCCGCGGGCGCCCTGCGGGGGCGGGGACCCGGGAAAGGCGCGCGGTGGGGGAGGGGGCGCGCGGCTGCGGCGAGCGCGAGTTGTGCACCCGGCGGCGGAGCCTGTGCACCTCGCGCGGCGGCCGCTCCCGCCGAGCCCGGCCAGGGTGGGGGGCGGGGAGTGGAGCGGGCTGCGGCGCGGCGGTGGGGGGCGGCCGGTCCCCGCAGCCTGGGGAAGTTCTAGAAGTGAGGGGGAGGGGCAGGGGCCCCGAGATTCTGTTCGGTCCCACCGGGCCTTTCTCCCGGTGTCCGCTGCGCAGACGAGGCCGGATCGTGGGCCTGGGTTTGGGGCTTCACCCCGACCCCACCTCCAGCCCGGCCCGCTCCTCTTCAGCCCCTAGGGCCAGGCCTGCCCTCCGCCCCCACAAACTGGTTTCTCTGCTTTGCTGGGCTCTGTTGGAACTAGTCCCTTTGACTCCCCGTTTCTGTTTTTTTCTGGGGTTTAATTTTTCGGGGATGGGGGTTTTCTTCCTTCAGCGCGCGCCAGGTTTCCTGCCCCAAGGCGGGCTTGGGTGCCCCCTCTGGCAGGAAGTGAGGCCGGGTGCACCCGCGTGGCGGTGCATGCGGTCGGGGTGCGCTGTTTTCCCGCGCCTGCAGGAGCCGTCTGCGCCCCTCCCCCCCGCGCGCCCTAGCTCCCAGACACACCGGCCTACAACCGCCAGGCGCAGACACTTGCAGAGTCACCCTGGATCAGGGTCTGGAGCAAGGGGCAACAGGGTCTTAACAGCCTCTAGGCAGTAAGCAAAGCGCCGGGCTAGAAGAGTCACCAGGAGCCTACTCCATCCTTCTTAACTTGCTGTATGACCTTGGACCACTCATTAGGCTTGTTTCAGTTACTTTTTTTTTCGTTTAAGTAATGGAGCTGCCAAGATTTTTTCTTAGGGTCATTCCTGCAGACTTGTTAAGCAGTTGAGGGCCACACATTATGTACACTCCGGGAAGAAGCAGACGGGCAAGAAGCACAAAAGGACGTATTGCAAACTGAGGAATTGAGGTTGAGCTGTAAATGTGGCTTCACAAGCCAGGCCTCACTGTTCTGAAACAGGTGGAAGAGACAAGTGCTTTTTGGCCTCACTAGATAGGGTCTAAGGCCTTCATTAAGTGGGGGCTTTAGCTGAAGAGGGGGCTAGCCGAACGGTCCCCAAGAGTAAGAGGTGGAGGAGGCACCAGATGGCATAAGAGCTTCCAGGAAGACCCGCTAGGGATTCCTAGGCATGCTGGGCGGATTGGGGACTGGCATCGCCCAATGAGCCCTTCTGAGGGGCCTCAGGCAGACCTCATGTGAGGTCAGCACTCATTTAGCTGATTAATTTTGATGTTTAGTTTGAAGGGGACCTGTGGTGTAATATAAGATTCTAATCACTGCCTGTAATTACAGAGCAGACTGAGCCACTAATGATGGAGCAGGATAAATCATCCACCACCCTGTTTAAAAGGGTCTTTTGAGTCTGAAATATTACAAAATAGAATAATTACCAGATAAGTCCTGCCGTCGGGAGGATCTCTTGATAGTTGAGAATGGGGAATTTAAATGCTCCAAAAATCACAAATTTCCAGAAATGTTTTCCTGTCATTGGGTTAAAATTGGGAAAATTGGGTAAAAATCTGAAAAGATGAGACAAAAGTTATTTTCAAATGTTCTCACTCTTTGAGAATTTCAGCGATTATTCTTTAGATACCACCTCAACAGTCTGGATGGGGGTTTCTTGAGGCAGGTGCAGCCTTATTAGCCCTGTTTTTCAGATAATAACAGGCTTTCAGAAGTGCCTTGTGCCTGTACCTTCCTTAACCAAGGACAGGTAGGGTTGGTCCCAGCCAAAATGTGAAGCCGGAGTTCTCCCACGCCCCATGTTTCAATCTCAGACTGGGAGGACTGGCACTGTCCCCAAATACAGGGTGCGGGCACTCCTTGTGATCAAACCCCAACAGGCCTGAGAAGGAAGATGCTAAAAAAGGATCACAAAGCATTTAGGACCAGGCCTGCTAAGGACACAGTAGTACATTTCAGCTGGGCGTCAGTGGCTCACCTGTAATCCTAGCTACTCAGGAGGCAGAGGTCAGGAGGATCACGGTTCAAAGCCAGTCTGGGCAAATAGTTCATGAGACCCTATCTTGAAAAAACCCATCACAAAAAGGCTAGTGGAGTGACTCAAGGTGTAGGCCCTGAGTTTAAAAAGGGGGTGGAGGGGTACATTTCATACTCTGCCCCAGCCATGTGACTCATGGGGAAAAGATAACTTTCAGCTCCTTCCTTCCCACCTCACCTTCACCACTGCAGGTTCAGTTCCCTCTCTTCCTCAGTTGTCCAAGATTTGCCTTAGGAGAGGGCAGACAGGACTGACTAGTGGGCTCAGCCCTGCTGGTGTTGTTGGCACTTGGTTGGCAGACCAAGTTAGTGTGGTGGTGGTGACCAGGGGCTTGAGGTCCATGGTTTCAGATCTCAAGGTTTCTTTTTCTTTCTACTTCTCTTCCTTGTTTCCTTGGAACTGCCCAGGAATGGATTTCTCAGAAGAGTGCAGAGGGAAGGGAACCCTGCCTCCTGACAGTGTAGCATTCCCTCTCCCCCACTCTCTAAGCTCAGTCCCACCATTGACACAGGGGAGCCTCACCCCTCTAAGCAGGTCTGGGCTGGCTGTATCTCATTGGCACCACCCCAGGCAGGACAACAAAGAGGCCTCTGAATAAGAGATAAGGAGTTGATCAGGGCCAACGGCCTTGCCCTACCCAGGCAGCATGCTGTGGGTGGCAGAGCCCTCCTCCTAGGTTGGGTTGAAATTCTGGGGCCATTGGGAGCAGGCAGCTCACATACAGTGGCTTGCCTGGGGGGTGTGGGGTAGGGAGTGGTTGAAGTTGTTTCCTTTGAAACAACTTTTCCTGTCTTCCAGCATCCAGCTTCCACTCTTGACCTGCTCCATAGAGAAGAAAAATGAGTGAGTCGAGCTCGAAGTCTAGCCAGCCCTTGGCCTCTAAGCAGGAAAAGGACGGCACTGAGAAGCGAGGCCGGGGCAGGCCGCGCAAGCAGCCTCCGGTGAGTCCAGGGACAGCGCTGGTAGGGAGTCAGGTGGGTGTTCAAAGCCTTGCCTTGGTTTACCTTTTTGGGCTAGGGAGGTGCCTGGCATCTCAGCAGGTGTGAACATGCATGGAGTGTGCAGAATCGTTCCTGTGTGGATCTTCTTACTCGGTGGTGCTCATAACCTGTATGGGACTGGTTAGCTCCTCCAGGTATCGCCTGAAAGCTCTGGGGGCTGAGGCATTCAAGGTGGCTTGCTTTCTCAAGCCAGTACTCGAAATTCCAGCCATAATCCACCAAGTGGTCTACATGAAGGCCAGTGCTTACACTGTGGTAAGCTACCCACTTTCTTAATTTCCAGGCCACTGGCACCATTTATTTATTTATCTATCTATCTATCTATCTATCTATTTAATTTTGGCAGTACTGGGATTTTAACTCAGGGCCTCATGCTTGCTAGGTAGGCACTCTACTGCTTGAGCCATTCCTCCAGTCGCTATTTCAATTTTAACTTAGTAAACAGGAATTTTCTAAAATGCAAGTGTAGTTGGACACACTTGGCTGAGTCAGAAGGATCATGAGTTCTAGGCCAGCCTGGGCTCTATCTATAGCAAGACCTTACTTCAAAAAAGTATTATCTAGCCGGGTGCTGGTGGCTGATCCCTGTAACCCTAGCTACTTGTGACACTGAGATGGGGAAGATCATGGTTCAAGGCCAGCCTGGGCAGATAGTTCTTGAGACCGCCCCCTCCAAAATAACCAGAGCAGAATGAACTGGAATTGAGCTCAAGTGTGGCTCAGGGTTTTCATCTTAAGAGTTCAGTACACATAAAATTACTCTGTCTAAGTGCTATAGAAGTTTCTACATACTTACTGTCAGAGTGTGCACTTTCTCACCTCAGGCTGGTAGTGAGTTCCTGGGCCAGTTGCATAGTTCTGGGATGGGCATTGCCCCTGGCTCTGTAAATGGACATTGAAACCCAAGAAATAGTGTTGGGGTATGGTGGCATAGATATCTTAGAACCCTGGTGCTGTTCCTCCCTTAAGGTGCGATGGGGTGAGGTGCCTGCCTTTGTGAGGCATCACAGGGAGTGTGGCCAGCTAGGCCTTGGGCATCTGGGCCACCTGCCATGTGGTAGAAATCCTGACTTCTCACAGAGGCAGCTGTTTCTCAAGGAAGGAGTGGCTGTTGAGGCCAGATTCTTCCTTATTGGAGAAGAGGTGAGGAAGGAATTGAGGTTGGCTCTACCTTGCCCAGTGTATTGGGCAGTCCATCCTTGTCTGTAGGTGGGGAGTGGTGTGCTGTGACCAGTTTGAGTCTCCTGGAAATAAGAGCTGGGAGGAGTCTGGTGAGATTCAGCTGCCACTTTCAGAGTTGGGGTCTGAGGATTCTGCTTATTATTTTAGTTCTCTCTGCCTTCCCCCATCCCCACCTATTGGAACACGCTAGAGGTTACCATACTTATAAACAGGCCCTTGACAGCCACCCCTAGGAAGAGCTGTGCCTTTATTTACTCTGTAGCTTCTCAGCATTATGCAGAAGTTTATTCTGTTTTGGGTTTATTGAAATTTTGGCAGCAACAATAGCAGGGATCTCTTGGGTCTGGGCGTAATTACTTTTCTCCTGGAGGCAGCCTGGAGGGGTTAGCTCCCAGATGAAGCCAGGGATTCCCATAGTCTCAATCACATTTCATATGAGGGGGTGGCTAACAGTCCTGGCTGGTGCTAGAAACTTGCCATGATATTCTGCAGGGTTGTAAGTTTTCTCACCATTTGCATATGAGGAAACAGAAGCACCAACCTTAGTCATTTTTTTGCCCAAAGTCTGTGGCAGAACAGTGTCTTTGTGCTCTTACACCTTTTCCAGAGGTTTTCTGGCTTGTCTTTTTGTTGGTCCAGACACCTCCAGGGAATGAAAGGAGGGACTTTGTAAAGATGGTCAAGCTATGGCCTTGAGGTCTAGAGGGATTGGTTGCTGCAATAGCTTCCTGGGTCAGTGTGGCTTGCTGAAATAACCCTACTGCAATGGGGCAGGTGGTGGCTAGGTCCCTGACTCCCCATCTGTTTTTACAGAAGGAGCCCAGTGAAGTGCCAACACCTAAGAGACCTCGGGGCCGACCAAAGGGGAGCAAAAACAAGGGCGCCACCAAGACCCGGGTGAGTTAAGGAAATAGGGCTGGCCCCATTGGGCAGATGGATGGAGAGCAAGATCCCTTATTTCCACAGCCATCCTGTGTGTGCATGGGGGTGGGGGTGGGAGACTAACTTAAGAATCTGCATCCCTGTCCCTGGGGTGGCAGTGGGTCTTTGCTAGGTGTGGAAAATCAGTGAGGATTAATGTCTCACCTTCATGACCTTGGTCCTACCCAGGATAGTGGGAAAGCTAAATCACAAGTCCTGTAGCTTTCACGGTGTGGGGAGAGTAAAGAGCCCCTGCCAGACCAGACTGAGAGTCAACTTCACCTTGGGGTCCCTGGAGCCTAAAGGGGTGGGGACAAGCAGGGAAGGCCAGATTTGTAGTGGCATCAGCCTTTCAGAAAAATTGTTCTTTTTTTTTTTTTTTAAAGACACGACTCATATCCTCTGAGTCATGGGTGGAGGAGGGAGTAGGGGGCGGGGTGTGTGTGTGTGTGTGTGTGTGGAGGAGGAGGGAGTAGGGGGCGTGTGTGTGTGTGTGTGTGTGTGTGTGTGTGTGGGGCAAGTGTGGCTGGCCAGTCATCAACAGCTGGTCTGGGAGAGAGTCCTGGGCTGCCCTGAGCAGAGGTAGGGAATCCTGACCACCCCGCCCACCCCATCTGTCAGACACCTGATCCTGGAGAGCACTGCCTAGTATTTTACTTAAGGGATGTTTTCTTTGACCCTTTAGAAAACCACCACAGCTCCAGGGAGGAAGCCAAGAGGCAGACCCAAAAAACTGGTAGGTGCTAAGTGCCTCTGAGACTCATTTTGGGGGAGTGTGCTGAGTAACTGATGCCTGATATTGTGTGGTGACTGCACCCTCTGACCTGCAGGACCAGGACCAGGAGTGCTGGGACTTCTATTTTAGAGGTCCAGAGAGGGGAAAGGGGCTATCTGGGGCTTTTGTTTCATATATATATATGTTTGTTACACACACACATGCACGCACGCACGCACGCACGCACACACGCACACACACACACACCACCCCCCACCCCCCCCCAAGCTGGCCGTAACTTCATGTTACTTCCACCTCCCTAGTGCTGAAATTATAGGTGTGAACCACTATGCCCAGCTAACCAGGACTTATAAAGGGCTGTGACCATGAGAAGTGAGGAGTTGCAGATACAAACCACACACAGATCCCCCTGATCTGGAGGAGGGAGACCTGTTCCTAGACTTAGCTTTCAGGGGAGGATGCTGCGAGTCATCCATGGTGTCCCACCAGTGAAGATAGAAACAAGCCTGAGGTGTCCTTATATAGCAGGATCCTCTTTGAAAGAAGATCTTAGCTCTCCAGGGTTTGGTGCTGGGTGTCATCTGTCACACCTCACAGGAAAGCACCACCCATTTCTGGGCCCCCAAATAGGTGGTGGTGGTGGACTGAGTCAGGAGACTCTTCCAGGGGTATGGTGGAGTTAAGGCCACAGCCTTCCTGTTACTGACCCTTTCCTACCCTCAACTCACTCCCCAAGGCATTCATTCCTTGAGCTGAGCCACCACTGGGGTGGGTGGGTTAAGGGGCGCTCCTGGCCAGACCCCAAGAGTGAGTAACAGGAAACAAGTTGTTTTGGAGTTTGTGCCTGGCACGGGGGCCGTGGAGCCCTGTGGTGTCCCGACATTCCCGCCCAGTGAGTGAGCCCCACAGCACACGCTTCCCTTCCTCCCCACCCTGGGTTAGGGTCAGCTCTGGGCCACCCAAGGACCCAGATCAGGGGGATCACATACCTTTCTGTAGCTCCTTCCCATTTCCTTCTCTAGAGAACCAGTCACTTCTTCAGTGCCTGGGCTTTGCCCTTCTGCCCTACACTATCCCAGCCTGGGGGCCAAGGGGCCTGGCTGGGTTGTGTGTGAGAGCAGCATGTGTGTGGTTTTTTCCTCCTTTTAAATCCTTCATTTTTATGAATGAAAGCGGCGTGGAGGTTGCTGAGTCACCCACACACTCAGCCCTGACTCATCCCCCTTCTGGAGAGCCTGGGAGTGTGTGTGGGGGGTGGCGTCTAGGAGGGTGGAGGGCCAGGCCCAGAGCTGCTCTGCTCCTCACAGGAGAAGGTGGAAGAGGAGGGCATCTCGCAGGAGTCCTCGGAGGAGGAGCAGTGACCGTGCAGTGCCGCCTGCTCCCTTACCAGGAGCAGCTTCCCCTCTGGGACTGGACAGCTTGGCTCCGCTCCCACCGCCCCACCTCTTCCCCAGGCCCCCCCAACCCCTGCGCCTTCCCCACTGCACACTACAGCACACCAGCGCTGCAGGGCCCCCTGCGGCCCAAGTGGGGAGCAGTTTCCTCTGGCCTTGGTTCCCAGTGCCCTTCTGTCCACATGCACATTCTGCCTCCCTCCCAGACAAGGCTAACGTCCCACTTAGCCGCAGCCTGCCTGCTGCGTCCCGCTCCTTGTGGAGACATTGCTCTCTGGGTTCCTTCTCTGGCCTCTCATAGAGGGGCCTAGGAGGGCTCCCCTGGCCTTAAAAGGGGCCCAAGCCCCATCTCATTCTGACATGCGCACTTGGCTATACTGGCAGTAGCAGCAGGTGCGGCCAGTGCATGGGGGCCCCGGGAGGCCCTCAGCCAAACTGTCTCTGTCACGAGGTGGGATTCACCCGCTTCTCTTTCCCACCTCACCTAGTTTTGCACTAGGTTGAATTAACCCCGTGGGGTACAGGAGGGAGGGCTGGGATCTTTACCCTTGCCCTGGGATCTAGTATCTACTAGCTGTGATGGAGATGCAGTCACCTATGGCACAGGTGAGGTCAGGCACTTCCCCACCCTTCCGCTTCCACTACTCTAGGCTGTGGCCCTTCCTGCCATGGGGCACTAACAACAAGGAGCTTGCCATGCCCACCTCTTCCTCCCCATACCCCAAGGTTCTGGTTCCATCTTTTCCTCTGTTCACAAACTACCTCTGGACAGTTGTGTTGTTTTTTGTTCAATGTTTCATTCTTAGACATCCATCATTGCTGCTGCTACCAGCGCCAGACGTTCATCATTGCCTCCCCTGCCCATATTCCCCATCCCCAAGATACTCTTCATGGGGGAAGGGGGCTGGGGCACAGCAGGCTGGGTTACCAATCACCCCAGTTCCAGGGAAGGTGGGGTCTGCCCCTAGGATGCTGCAGCAGAGTGTGGGGGGGGTGCCCATATTGACCATGAAGGGTATAGGGACCACCTCTTCCCCTTGTTGGGGATGGGGTGGCCATTTGTCCCAGCCTGGGGCTTCCCTCCAGTTTCCTATTTGCAGTTACTTGAATAAAAAAATTATCCTTTTCTGGAGTTCTTGTGTTTCTGGGCTGGAGGAAAAGGCAGTGGAGGCAGCTCCAGGGAAGGTACCTTCAGCCCCTCTTGAAGAAGTCAACCACAACCCTAGCCACAAAACATTTTATTTACAAATATATACATATGAAGTACTATACATCTGGCTCCATCATCATGAAAACTCCACACTCCTGTGGATTTATGCCAAAGCAAAGTCTAGGTGGGCTACAGAAAGCAAAATTGCCTAACCAGCCACCTAGCTCCTGAGGGAAATCTGTTGATTGGTTGGGGGGGGAGGGGAAAGGGGGGAAATGGGCTCAGAGCTGTGGATAAGGTGGGTTGGAAGAGAAATGGAGCCCTGTGTCCCAGCGAGTGGATGCAAACAGAAGGCGACAGCAGGCTGTGGTACCAAAGGCTGAGTATTGGGGAAGGGGTTCAGTCATGTCTTGACATCCAGCAAGGGTATCCGTTTGTGCTGGTAGCCACTCTGCCAGCCGTGTACCACCTGCGGGGGAAAGGCCATGCCACAGGGCTGGGCTCTGGTCTTAGTGTCCCTTAGGACTCCAAGGGAGCATGGGTTAGAGCAGGTGTTCCTCTGCTTGACTCCCCTGCCCTAAAAGTGCTCACCTTGGGGTCTCCCACATCAGAAAGCAGCTCCTGCTCAGCCTCATGTAACTCCTCAGCTGGGTCATAGCTGTACATGGGGAGCAGGTGATGTCGAAGCCGGTCCACCCTGGGGAACAGGAGGGGTTCAGCCTAGGTCCCACCCTACCCCATCAAACACCTGACTGCCTAGTGTCTACTCCTCTGGGGATACTGAGTAGGTGTTTTCCCAACACACCACTGCTACAAAGGGATCTCAGTTATCCGAGGTGAGGGCAATGAAAAACACTCCAGGCTTGTATCCAGGATGGCTGATGGGCATCTCCCAGATACGTTGTAAACTTAGGTGCTACGGGAAAAGATTTCAGGGGTGTGGGATGGCATGGCAGTGGGGGCAGGGACACTCACCGCTTTTTCTTCTGGACATACATTACCTGTAACAGAGACAGCACTGTGTAGGCTGTAGAGCCCAGGACGGCCCACCCTGAGAGGGGACCCACCTCCACACCCTTCATTCCCTTAAGGGACAGCTGAAAGGATGTGTGCACTGGAACAGGCCCACCCAGCCCAGGCTTTAGCAAAAATGTCCGCGTCTGTGTGAAGGAAGGCTCCTTACCACAGCCACCACCACTCCAACCAGGGTGATGAGGAAGAAAGGCCCCAGCACATAGCCCACCATGGAGTCGCTGTTGGCCTGGGGGGCATTGGGCACTGTTGTGTTAGTCATGACATCAGCAGCAGGAGGGTTTGGTGGTCAGCATGGGCAGTGGTGCCTCGGGAGGGTGCCTCTGCTGGGCTCCCTGGGGAGGAAGGGAAGTTACCAGTTGCACCTACAGTGACATCTGGACTCTGGTTCCCTTCCCCAGGGCAGGAGATAGGTGAAAACTCCCAAACCCTGGGATGAGGACCTGGGGAATGTAGCTCCGTGGTGGAGCACTTGCCTAGCACCAGCAAGGCCCTGGGTTTGATCCGCAGCTCATGAACAACCAACCTGGGATGATGCATCCTCCAGATAACGGGTAGGTGTTACCCTTCACTGGCTCTTAGCGGTGGAGAGGGCACCAAATGGAAGACCCAGATTCAGGGCAGGCTTCCTGCCCATTTCCTATGCCTACATCAGGGTGGGGCCCAGCTCACGCTGGATCAACATTTGCTAGTTTCAACTGCTGGAGAAAGGTTAGGTTCCCATCTCCTGCCCCAGACCTCCTGGACACTGAGCTGTCAGCGCCTATCCAGTGGAGCAAAACGGAGGAGAGATTAGGTAAACAGGAGGGAATTGCACTGAGGCCTTGGAGTGGGACGGGAGCATCTGAAAGGGGCCGCCTCAAACCCTCGTCCAGACCTCACACTACAAGCTAAGGACCCCATGACTAGACTGTATGCCCTTCTTATCCCCGTTACCACCCCCGCCAGTGTCTCCCCCTCACCACCATCGGTCTCGTGCCAGAGTGGACACAGTGGGAGGGCTGGACTGTATCTCTGAGATGATGTCACCTCCCTCAGGTCCCCAGCCCGGGGCTCCGCCCCGGTCCCTCCCCTCCTGGCCCGGACGGCGGCGGAGGTGGAGGTTCAGCCCTCACCGACAGAAGCGAAATCATTCTGGGGCGGCTGCACGGCACTGGCCCAAGTCCATGCTCAGGGTTGACCTGGGTCTCTATTGATAGGGCAAGGGATGAGCAGCTACCTGTACCATGTTCATGGGGCACCAGGTTTGCCCGTACCCAGTCGCAAGTTCACCGTCCCAGACAGGGGGACAGGCTATGGCATCAGGCCACTCCTAGGATGCCGGCCAGCAGCGGCGGGAGGTAGTTCCCACTGAGCTAGGAGGTTCGGGAGGTATTGGGAGAGCACCGAGGGGCCACTCCCCGCCGGGGCATCCCGGAACCCCGGCACCCCGAGACGCGGACCCGTGCGGGCGCTCTGCAACCCGTCCAACCCGGCCATGCCTTACCTCCCGCCGCCGCAACCGGGACAGGAACGCCCTGGGTTGGCTCCCCGGCCCCGGAAGCGCAGGCGGGCGCGTGATCAAAGGACCCGGGAAGGTAGGCGGGGCCTCATCCCGGGTGCAGCCAATCCGGTGCGGAAAGCGGCCGGCTCTAGTCTTCCGGAACCGCCAATCCAGGGGTGGTGGGCGGTGCGAAAGTGGATACGGCCGGCTTGCAGGGTCTACCCGCTGGCGGTAGGGGGCAGCCGAGGGCTGCGCAGCGGGGGGAGGACAGCCCAGCCGGGCGGCGAGCTTTTTCCCGGCGTTCCCCGGGCTGTGCGCCCGCGCCGCGGAGTCAGCTCTGGGTCCGGCCGCGTCCGCCATTCCTCTGGTTGGAACTCAACCCTTTAGCCGTGGCTTTTCACTGCAGGGCCGGGGCCAGTGCTTGTTGACTGGCCTTGGGATGTGCTCGGCGGTGAGGGCGGCCGGGCATCCTCCCGACGTCGTGAGTAGTGGGAGGATGGTGGGAAAGGAGCCTGGCACGCGGCATGCCCCTAAGGTTAGGCGCCTCCGTTGACCTTCCGATCCCCGGGGCCACGGGCAACTTGGAAAGCTCGGGTCAGCGCTTTTATGGTGTATCGTTAAAATGGCGCACCGTTTCAGAAATCTGAGTATCAGAGTCATATCCTGTGTGTGATTACGAATTTGCCAAATGTTCATCCCCACTGCATGTGATCTGCACTTACCTTTAATGACGTATATCTGTATCTGTCTCTCCCTCCCTATGTATGTATTTATGTACTTTTGTACCAGATCCTCTTCTTCCCCCCAAAATCACAAATGACTAGAAAAACTACATGGGGATGGAAGCCACCAAAGAACATTAAGGTTGTGACGTTTCAGTTAGGCTTCCAGTGGTAATGAGGGCAAAATATGTTCTCTGATAACATTAAAATCAGTAACAAGCCTGGCACTGGTGGATCACGCCTGTAATCCTAGCTACTTAGGAGGCAGAGATCAGGAGGATCGTGATTAGAAGCCAGTCCAGGCAAACAGTTCGTGAGACCCTGTCTTGAAAAAACTAATAACAAAAAAGGACTGGTGGAGTGGCTCAAGGTGTAGGCCCTGAGTTCAAGTATTGCAAAAGAAAAAAAACTCAATAAAAGAGCCGGGCATGAGCAGCTCACATCTGTAATCCTAGCTGCTTGGAAGGCTGAGATTGGGAGGATCTCAGTTTGAGGCCAGCCTGGCCAAGTAGTTCTTGAGACCCCATCTCCAAAATAATCAGCGGAAAATGGTGTGGCTCTAGTGATAGAGCACCTGCTTTGTGAGAGTGAAGTCCTGAGTTCAAACATCAGTCCCACCAAAAAAAAAAAAAAAAACCCTAAAAAATTACCATTTATTAATTCAGCAATTCTACTTTTTTGGGATATATACCCAAAAGAACTAAAACCAGGAATTTGAATAGATACCTGTACCCATATTCATAACAGCATTATTCACAATACAAAATATGCTACATACATACGATGGAATACTTTTCAGTCTTACGGAGTAACATTCTGACACATGCTACAACATGGATGAACATGGAGAACATTTTGCTAAGTGAAATAAGCCAGTCACAAAAGGACAAATACTGCATGATTCCACCTACTGAGGATGCCAGAGTAGTCAAATTCATAAAGTAGAATAGTAGTTTCCCAGGAGTGAGAGGAAAATGGGAATTACTGTTTCTACGTGGACAGCTTTACTTTGGAAGTCGAAAACAGTTCTGGAAATGGACAGTGGTAATAGGTGCACAGCAATGTGAATGTACTCCTAAGCCACTAAATAGAACACACAAATGGCTAACTGGGAGTGGTGATGTTTGTCTGTAATCCCAGCATTCAAGAGGCTGAGACAGGAGGATTGTGAGTTGAAAGCCAGCCTGGGCAGCCACAGGCTGCCCTGTCTTGAAAAGAGTGAGAGGATGGAGATATTCTATGCAAAGAGAAACTAAAAGAGTTGGAAGGAGCTATACAAAATAAATTTTAAATCAAAAGTGTTATACAAGACAAAGGAGGCAATTTATATTGATTAAAAAGGTCAGTTCATCAAGAATATCCAGGAATAACAAGCATCACACCCAACAGCAGAGTCCAAAAACATATCAAGCAAATATCGACAAATCAAGAAATAGACTTTTTTTAAAAACTGTGTGGAATTTTCTTATAGATTTAAACATGAACCTATCTAATGATGCACCTGTTTCACTTCCAGAAAAAAAAAAAGAACATATATATCCTAAGCATAGATATACAAGAATGTTGCTAGTGGCACATTTTAGTTTTCATTTTTAAGTTTTATTTAATTTGTTGTGTTTTGTTTTGCTTTTGGTGTAGGGGATCAAACCCTAGGCCTCACATATGCTAAGCATGCAGTCTTCAACTGGGTTATACCACTAGCCCCTAGTTAATGCTTTTTTTTTTTTTTTTTTTTGGTGAGACTGGGGTTTGACCTACTTAACATTTTTTTTTTGATGAATTATAATTGTGGGGGATACAAAGTGATATTTTATATAACTGTGGAATTACTGAATCAAGCTAATAACATCCATCATTTAAATATCACTTAAATATCATTTTTTCCTTCTAGCTACAACTTTGTACCCTTTGACCAACATTTCCCCTTTCCCCTCCCACACCCTAGCCTCTGGTAACTACCATTCTATACTCTGCTTCTGTAAGTTTGATTGTTTTAGTTTCCATAAATGAGAGCATGCAGTATTTGTGAAAGAATAGGTATTTGTATGATAACAGTGGAAGACTTCAATACCCCACTTTCAGTAATGGATAGAGTATCCTAGACAGATCAGTAAGGAAATAGAGGACTTGCAAAAATGCTATAAGCCAACTAGACCTAACATACACAAAGCTCTGCATCCAACAATGGCAGAATACACACTCTTATCAAGTGCACGTGGAACATTTTCCAGGATAGAATGTATGTCAGGTCACACACAAAATCTTAATGCATTAAAAGAAAAAACCTCCTAACAATGGAGGAGATGACTTTCTAAAGGAGAATTAATACTAATCCTCCCCAAGTCTCTTCCAAAAACTTGAGAGGCAGGAACACTTCCTAACTCAGTCTTAGTATTTCCCTGTCATAAATGCCAGACAAAGACACAAAGGAAAACTAAAGACCAACACCTTATTAACAGGGGTGTTAGCTCATAAAAGAATTCTGAATGAACTTAAAAGAACTGAAATCCATATAAAATATCTTCTCAGGCCACAATGGAATGAAGCTAGAAATCAATGGCAGAAAGAAAACCAGAAAATTTGCAAATATCTACAAAGTAACACACTCTTCAGCAACCAATGACTCAAAGAAGAAACCACTAGGGAAATTATAAAATACTTTGATATCAGCGAAGCATACCAAAACTTATGGAATGTAATAAAAGCAGTATTGAGAGGGAAATTTATAGCCATAAATACCTAATCTTAAATCAATCTAACTTTACAAGTTAAAGAACAAGGAAAAGTAGCAAACTAAACCTAATGACAGCAGAAGGAAGGAAATGATAAAGGCAGAAAATGATTAAGAGTACAGATGAATGATATACACAATTAAAGAAAGAAAATTAATAGAATAAAAAAAGTTCTTGAAAAGGATTTTCAAAATGTCAAAATTTAAGTTAAACTAAGAAAAAGAAGACAAAAGCAGCCATTACTAATGGAGACATGACTACTATATAAAATTTAGAAGGATGGTAAGAACATCTGTGTACCCCAACAATTCAGATAATCTGGGTGAAATGGAAAAATTTCTAGAAACACACAAATTTACAAAACTGACTCAAGAAGAAATAGAAAACCACAACAGATCTATAATAAGAGAATCAAAATAAAAAGCATCCTCTGAACAACAAAAAGTCCAGGACCAAATTCCTTCAGTGGTCAAGTCTACCAAACATTTAAAGAACTAACACTGATCCTACTCACTCTTCCAAAAAGCAGCAGAGGAGCTGGACATTGGTAGCTCATGTCTATAATCCTAGCCACTCAGAAGGTAGAGATCAGGAGGGTAGAGGTTTGAAGCCAGCTCGAGCAAACAGTTCCATGAGACCCCATCTTGAAAATCCCTTCACAAAAATAGGGCTGTTGGAGTGGCTCAAGGTGAAGGCCCTGAGTTCAAGCCCAATACCACACATACACAAAAAAAAAAAAAAAAGAAGAGAACACTTCCTAACATTCAATGAGACCAGCATTGCCCTGATACCAAAAAGTCAAAGATTACATAAGGAAACTGTAGCTCAATATTCCTTATGAATATAGATAGCAAACTGAATCTAATAGCACTGTAAAATGGATAATGCGCTATGACCAAAGTGGGTTTACCCAGAGACTGTAGGAGTGGTTCAACATAGAAAACCAATGCATATATCAATAGGACATAATATACCCCATATGTGTTCTCTCTCTTGCTTTCTGTTGCTCTCTCTCTTTCCCTCGTAGGGTCTATGTAGCCCATGCTGGCTCAAACTCCAGACCCTCCTGCCTCAGCCTCCTAAGTGCTGGGATTACAGGTGCACAACCACTCCTCACTATTACTTCTTTCACTCTACCAATAACCTTATTAATGAGGTACATGACATTAGTTATGTTTTACAGTTAGGGACTCTGACATTCCAGGGTCCTGAGTGACTTGAGCTCTCCTTGGTAGTGCATGGTAGTGCACTGTGAGTTAGGCAGGCCAGACTGAGGCCAGAGAATGTGATGGTGGGCAGCAAGATTGTCCACGTGATCATCCCAATGGATACAGAAAAAGCATTTGACAAAAATTTGCCATCTTTCATGATTAACACTCAGCAAACTAGGAAGAGGAGGATAGCTTTTCTGGCAAATGATATTGGAAAAAATTGGATTTCTACATGCAAAAAAAAAAAATCAGCTTGGGCACTGGGGGTGTGGCTCAAGTGGTAGAGCACCCACAGAGCAAGCACAAGGCACTGAATTCAAACCCTAGTGCCCTTCCCCACCACACACAAAAAAGCAAACTAATCCATAGCGCCAGGAAGATGATCAGTATCTGCGTGGACTTGGGTGGGTACAGATAGAGAGGGATCACGAAAGGCACAAGAAACGCTTAGTATATGAATGTGTTCGTTATCTTTCTACAGTGGTGGCTTCAGAGGTGAACACATGTCAACACTTACCAAATTACATATTTTAAGTATGTGCAATTATTATATGTTAGTTCCATAGAGGTTTTTATTTGTTTTTTAGTGCTGGAAATTAGACCAGGGCCTGGACCATGCTAGCCAAGTACTCTACCACTGAAGTATTCAATCGGCTTTTATTTTTTAAGTTTTGTTTGTTTGTTTGTTTGTGTTTGTTTTATTATTTTTTGTGGTACTGGGGTTTTTAACTCAGGGCTCCCTCACACTTGCTAGGCAGATACTCTTCCACTTAAGACACTGGGTACCCTCTCCCCCGCCACAAGTCCCATTTGTGTGTGTGTGTGTGTGTGTGTGTGTGTGTGTGTGTGTGTGGGTTTTTGTTGTTTTTTGTTCTCTGGTGGGACTGGGGTTTGAACTTAAGACTTTGTGTTTGCAAAGCAGGCACTGTATGGCTTGAGCCACACTTCCAGTCCATTTGCTCTGATTATTTTGGAGATGGGTCGCTTGAACTATTTGCCCAAGCTGGCCTTGAACCTGGATCCTCCCGATCCAGCTTCTGAGTAGTTAGTAGGTGGGTGTGAGCCATCAGCGCCTGGCTGTGTGTTGGGTATTTTTGAGACAGGATCTCACTTTTGTTGCCCAGGCTTGCCTTGAACCTCAGTC